CCGTATATGGGAGATGGATTACAGATGGGGACAGAGATATTAAAATAGTCATGAATATTAATTGAGTTTTAAAGGTGTTGTGACAAAATTACAATTCTAGATTTTGAGTATTAATAGTCAAAATCCTTTCCTTTCATTAATTTTGTGGTAGCACCGGTTGTCTTTTGAGACCGCTAAAATGGTGTCATTGGCGTATAGCAAACTACCTATTTTTATTATATAGGAGAAAAGGGGAAGGGAATGAGAGACAGAGGCAGTGGTGGAGGGTTCATATATTTAGCTCATTTTAAAGCCACCATCAAAGACAAGAGACATAGGTAGGCTCAATTTTGCATTCTTCCCCACTCAATTATCAGATTGAATGCTATAAACAATTGATGAACCTTAGAGAATGATGCTAAATTCCCATAAGTAACACAGGTTGGGTTTCTTAGAAACAGACTCTGAGACGGATATTAACATGCAAGAGGTTTATTAGGAAATGCTCTAGGAATGCAAATTTGTAGACTAGAAGAAAGGAAGCAAAATTATGTAGAGGGAGAAGTCAAGCCATTGACTTCCATCTTCAATGGAAGTTTCAGTCAATCTTTTTAGGGTATTTTTAAGATGCAAGTTAGGGTGAGGGAGCCAAACCTTTCTACTACCTTCCCATCAGTCTTTGGATGCTCCTCTTTTCCATAGAAAGGGGACATGACTTGGAGCAATGTGACTTTCTTCAGCTGAGGCAATCCCCAAGGGAGGTCAATAGCTGAAAACAGTACTCTGGCAGCAGTCTCAAAAGCTGAGACAATAAATCCTTTATTTCTAAAGGGGAATCTGGGCAGTGCATCACAGTATCCTTTACAATAGGCTTAATTTAGTGATGATAGAATTTGCAGCTGCTCTTCTAGATATTTCTGTTACTACATGGAACAATATGGGCCCTAGAACTTTGTTTACAAATATTGATTTGGAGTCAATATTGATATTGACTCCAATTTAGTACCTGCTTTCTGATCTACTGAATTGGAATCTCTTGAAGTTCATAAATCTGTATTTTTGCAAAGATCCTTAATGATTATGCTATAGACAATCCATAGACCTTCATTTTGGAATCACTTGTGGTTCTATACACAGTTGTGGCTCTATAATTCCGGCCAATAAGATATTGGTAGAAATATGTGTGCCGCTTCTAGGTCTTGCTAGTGAAAGGAAGGTGCATACATTCCCCTTTTCCCATTCCTCTTTCATGCTGACAGGAAAGAGGACAAAATGCTAGGGGCTGGACAGAAGCATCATGTGTTACAGGAGAAAGATGAAAGATGCATTTTGAGGATGGCAGAGCAACAAGATAGAAGATTCTAGGTGCAGCCATACCTGTTCGGGACCACTTACCCAGTCTTGGGGAGAGAGCAATAAACTTCTCTCTTTTTTGTTATTGTTTTTGGGTATTTTCTGTAATCAGTTTAGTTCCTAATAATACAGAGATTGGTGGCCATCACTCCCAAAGTGAAGGACTTGTTATTGTACTTTGTTCCCCTACACTAGGAAATAGGCCCATTGGATTTTGGAAACATGGTGAAACGTATATGGGTGTCTTTCTTAGGTCCATCTACTGGATGACCTAAGAATTTCTAACTTTAGAAGGACTTTGACCAAAAAGACTGCTGTTCGAATTATCAAGGTTTCAGTAAAATCTGCTTTGATTTTTAATTCTTATGAACTGTGCTGATCCAATGATTCTGGAAGAATCTATAGCAGAAAAATAAAATGTCATGGAGCCAATAACAGGCTCTAATACAATCATAGCAATAGATCTTTTGGGGGTTTTGAAGCTAGTCCACACTACCTTCTGGAATAGCTGTTATATTTTCGACAAATACTAGCTTTCTACTGATACCTGGCAACCACAGGTAACCATGAAACAAAGCAACTCATCCTGGACTGGGCATTAGCTTATCTATATCCAAGAAGTTAGGTATTCCCAGCAGCAATCTACTAACAATAAAAAGTCATATATACAAGATGGGCCCATGTCCCACTCAAATCTGAAAGGCAAAAGTCAGAACCATGAGATTGTTTCTTAATGCCTGCAATGTCCTACCACCGATCTGGATGCCACCTTTCCCTGAATTTATGCCTTTTGCCTAGAGGGGGATTTTCTTATGACTGGTTGACACGATGAAAAGACTCAACACTGGATTACCAATGACCTCAGTGTCATTGAAAAGTGAGCTGTGTGGCATTATAGCCTAGCTCAGGCACAGACATGGAAGACAACTGGAAAAGAAATTTCTCATTAGCTATCGTGCTTGGTAGAAGGTTGGCTTGAAGTCAGAATTTACAATGATTCCTGAGAAATAGTACATAATTTATATAAATAAGAAAGGACTTGAAAGGAGCAAAATTGGAGGATGACACAAAGGTTTAGAGAAATCACTTGGGTCACCTACAATAAATCCAAGTCTGAACATAAGTAAGTGGTGCTTACCAGAGGTTCCTCACTAGGGATTTTCAAGGGAGAATGAGGTAATAAACAATATTTGTTAACTGTAGCTGTCACAGTTTGTGGCTATCAGTAAGTCTGCTTTCTCATCCTGCCCTGTAGTTGCTAAATGAGTGTTAGTTCATAAGTTGGCCCCCATACACAGAGGTCAAGGAGTAACTGAAGAATGAGGCAGACCACCTCAAATTGGTAGGTGGCAGGTTTTAATAAGCAAGGGAACTTTACTTATGAGGCTTGTCTTGGGCAGTCACAAGATGAGTGAATCTCCACACCCACCCACCAGAATCTTAAAAGTTTATATAGAGGCCTTAACTGGATTCAGTCGCATATACTGTCCAGATGGTCTCAACAACACCTTTCTATTTCAGAGCTGTGTCACTGTGGTAGCTTCTAGTGTGGGGAAGGCAAGCAGAACGCACATTTCAAGGAGAGGGGAAGAGGTACAGAGCCTCTGATTGCTTGGTCCAACTTGCAGGACAACTGGCGGTAATGTCCTCTTGATGACCTCCTCCAACAATGAAGTTCATGAATTATGGCAGAGATGGAGGTCCTACATGGGCTCAAAAGCCTCACTTTCCTCCACCGAAGCCAGTATGAATTCCACAATGCCAGCAATAAAGTGCTCTTCCTCTTTGGCATCATTATGGTGCCAGATTATGATGCCATAATCATCATTTTGAGTACTTGTCAGCCATCTGGTAACAAGTGGACAACTTTGATCCTTTTCTGATGGGGAGACGACAGTATTTGTTTTCTCTGATATAACCAATTACTGATTTGGATTTTCTTTTTGTGTCTAATATGCCTCCAGAAGCACTGCTATCCATGAGCTTAATGAATATTTTATTCATTGCTGTGAAATGCTGTACAACACTGCTTCCAACCAAAGCATTTGTTTCAAAATAAAAAAGAAAGGCAATAGGTACATACAGCATCAATGATTTTATTTTGTCTTATTATTCATAGATAGTAGACCCTGAAGATCAGCCTATTGAGAACTCTGCTGTGATATTAGCTAAGGGATACTACTTGTTTGGTTGGTGTGCTGATTGACGGATGTAACATATTAGCTAAACCAGAAACCAACATTTACATCCTCTCTCATTTGCTGAAACTCCCTCCTAGCCATTTTGGGTCTTTTATGCCTTTAGAGCAGTCTTTCTAAGCAGAAAATGCTGTCATTATATTGTCTGGGATGATTAATTCGGACTATCAAGGAAAATAGAGTTACTGACATTCAGTAAGGACTAAAATGTAGGTGAATTGTTTGACCCCATGTTTTATCATTCCCTGAGGCAAAAGTTATTGAAAACTCCTACAGTGTCATCCATTTGGATTTTCAAGGGCTCAAAATGCTCATAATTTAGTCAGCTGACAAATTCTGGTATGGACTGAGAGAGGTAAAAAGCTGGAACCACTGACAGACATGGAGGAAAGTAAAAGGCCTTGGGACCAACTGTAGAAGTAGGACCTGTAATAGCCACCTGTATTTATTTATTACCCACTTTTTGTTGGCAGTTATCAATATGCTAACATATCAATTTTCTGCCCCCACCACTGGACATACACTGTTTGATGACGGTTAAATTTACCAAGAGTCCAAATAACATAGAAAGGTGAGTAGAACACAAATGGGTTATAATAAATTGAGTTTGGGAAGGGAATAAGAGATAAAAGTGTTAATTATATGTTTTACATATGTAAATAATGTTGTACGAGGCACATTTGGAAGTATATGTATAGGAAGAAGGATGTGTGTGTGAGGCAGCAAAGTGGTAGAACGTACTGAAGATGACAGTCATAATGTTATTGAACCACAACTTCTCCCAGCTAACCACCTCAATGGGTATGCAAAATACAAGCAGAGGAGTGGGTTGGGGGAATGACATTTAGTTTAGTTTTGGTCTTGCTGATCTTGTGGTACCTATAGAACATCCAGTTAGAGATGTAAATTCTGAGTTGTATCAATGTGTCTGTAATTCAGATAAGTTAGAGCTGGAAATGTAAACTAGAAATCCTCAGTGTATAAGCATATCTATTTGTGTCAATGAAATTGTCTAGGGAGACTGAGTAAAATGAGAAGAGGGACAGGATGCAACTTTGGAGAACTGAGATTTAAAGGACTGGCAAAAGTAAAGGTGGCCACAAAATGCAGGAGTGTTAATTAAAAACGATGTCACAGAAACAGCAAGAAAAATGTTTCAAGAAAGGAAAAGTGAAAATGATACCAGACCCTACAGAAAGAATTATAAGGAGGTCACTGGTGTCCTAAGCAGAGGGAGTTGCCGTAGAATGAAGGGGTAATGTAACTGGCATGGAGAAATTGGAAAAAAGAACAAAAACTACATTTTCAATATATTAGTGTGAAGGGAAGGGATGAAACAGGATAATGGCCTGCTGAGATGCAGAGAAGTAGAAGTAGAATATACTGGAGAGCCATGATATGACTCAATTTCTCCTTGACTTGAAGACTTCCTATTGTTCTAAAATAAATACGGGTGCTCAGTAATTGCTTGCAAAGTTGTATTTATTTTTCAGATCCAGTCAACAAAAGAACAAAATACCTCATAATGAGAACTCACTTTCTGAGGGAGATGCAACTGTTTAGGTAGTCTCACTATTGAGTGATTATTTTTGTTCACTTATAAATAAATATGTGGCCTATTATAACTGGAAAGGTAACGTTAACATTAACTGGGCATTGCAGTTGTAGATTGTTGGCACATGTCTAAGCAAGAACATGTTGTGATATGCCTGTATCTGTAAGGCATGGTACTGCCATCAGGACAGTCAAGAACAATTTCTCTGAATTCGTAGCCTTCTTCTCGGCAGCAAAGGCATGAATTTTCCAAGATATCGTGATTGTACCTGAAAAAAGAAAATTCAGTATTAAATATTCTTGGAATGTCTTTTGAAATAAATTGACATCAATGCTCAACTTCTAATTGTCTAATGATTTATAAGCCCTTCCAACCAATTTATTCTTTTCCTACACCTTCCATCTCCCCCTTCACTATAAACTTCTGATGTGGATCAGTGATAATTGGTATGTAAGATCAAAAGAAATAAGAAAAGAAATCCAAAATGGAGATTCATAATCTCATAATTAGAGCATTATGGTGTAAAAAAATAAAACAGATTTTAAAATATACAACTTAATACCAAATTACTTTCTCCATATATCAATCTGCATGTGAAAGTGTACATAAAAGAAAAACATGTAGTATGTTATGTCTAAAATGCAAGTGACAGTTTAAGCAAGAGTATTTGCTTAAGTATTCTTTCTAATCACTGTATGAAAATAAATTTATTTCCCATAAATGTATTGTTTGACATATTTATAAAACTATTTAAACTGATTCATCACTACCGAAAATGTTTATTTCTCAGACCTTAATATTTTAGTTTCATCAGATCCTGAGCATTAGTTCTCACGTAAAAATTTTTCCACGTAATATTTTAAAAGCTGAATTTCCTCCACAATGTTACAACATTAACACATGGGACGCATTCAAGAAACACTCACTTGACAGTATTTTCGCATTCTCCTGTGCATCTTGCCATCTCAACTCTTTTCTCGCAATCATTGTACTTAACAGTCACATTCATGGGTGACGATCTGCAATCAGCTTTACCTAAAACAGAACGGATAACAGTCAGAAACGAGGTTTAACAGCATCGAGTGCTAAGTCTCAGTTCTTTTAACCATAGAGTAGAGAATAATAACAACAAATACTTCACAATGTTATTGCTAACTATCTCAGCATGCACCACGAGGTACCTGGTTAATACTCAATATCTTATCATTATTGCTATTATTACTATCATAGGAGAAAGGGAAAGAAGGAGGAGGAGGAAAGAACAGGGGAGCAGGAAGAAGTAAAGAAGAGTGGGGAGAGAAGGGAAGACCAAGGGGGATAGGTTGTTTTTGACAGCTTGTTTTCTCATTGCTGATCACCCTTATGATCTAATATACCAATTTACAATGTAACTTTCTGATATTATAAGATCGAGCTAGATTTTTTCCATGAAAATAGTGTTCTTCTTTCTACACATCACTGATTTTTACTCTGAAAAATGCTGTGACCAACATGAATAAGTAACTATAATACATTATATACAAACATCAATTGTTAGTTTATGCGTATAAGTTAGATGACCTGTTGTATTAAAAACACAGGAGACTTTCTGTTAATGATCTGCCATTTTGTTTTAAAGAAACTCTAAATGTTTGTCAACAGTTTACATTTCCTCTACATGTGGAGCTTAATTTTACTTACATGTATAGCAACATTTGTTTGAATCATAGACTCTGTCTTCCTATATGGGAGAGAGAAAAAGAAAAAAGACTGAAAAAGTTCTGCATTTTTCTATAAATAATATAATATTTCTTAAATTATGGAAATAAAATCACAAAGGGGAAATGGAACCGATGAACATGTTGATCTCAAATTGAGTCAGCATGGATGGGAGTGTGTAGTAATAAGAATGAGACAGTATCTACACTAAAATTGTTCAACAGTGGGTAGAAAGGAAAAAACAGTATTTAAACTAAATTTTCTTTAAAGTAAAATGCAAAAGAATTACTCTTTATTTTAATTGAAAAATACTTTAATAATGACATTACCACTAGACACTAAGTTTCTCACAGGCAGGAGTTTCACTTTACGCATTATTATAATCTCAAACCTATCAATGTTATCAATGTCTCAAAGTAAAAACTCAATAAATGTTGAAATCCAATATTGGAGTTCTAAAATAAAACTTTAAACTATATGATCAATAATTTCTTCAGAAAGAAAAATTAGTTAAGCTTAAACCTTCCCTAATAATTTGAACTTAGGCATTTATTAACATAGAATTACATTTTGGGAGAATAAAAATGAAGACTGCGGCACAAAGAAAGATCTGAACAGTACACATACAGGTGATTATACAAAACATTTGTATTTTTATAGAAAATGATTAACTTGAATCCATGAGCCTTAGAAAAAATAATTATTTTGTTTGTTTAAAAACAGCAAAATGCTTTCTACAGTAACTTACTTCTTCTACCATAGGACTAGATTAAGTTTTACAGAGCCTGCAAAAATATCTTTGATATGAAAAATATACTTGGCGAAAAAGTGGACAGCATGTCTAAAATAGAATCTACAAGAGATTTATGTCTATTGGCCAGACACAAACTTTTCCAAACGAGAAAGATGGCAGGTTGCGTATGTATTAAACATTAGAAATGAATCTTCTTGCTCATTACTTAAGGAGATGACTTACTTCTGCACACCAGGTCTGCTTGGGGCAGTCTTGGACCACTGCAACGAGACCAGTGTCACCGCAGGAGTAGGAGACACATGGATTGTTGGGGTCATCAAAGGAATCACCAATCTGGGAGGTAAGGAGGGGGAGAGAACAAAATAATTATTCAACTTGATTTCTTTTTGAGGTTGACAATAAAACCTGTAAAACAAACTTTCAAATTTCATAACGTTTAGTAAATTTCCAAAGGTGCTTTCAGCCAATAGATTAATATTTAAGAAAAGGTGGATTGAAAGCCTTCTACTTCCATAAAGAAATCAAAGTTCCTCACTGAATGTACAAAATGTGTCAAGATTCTCAATCCTCAAATTCAGATTCACCTACAGTTACTCTATTATATTTTTCAAATATTTTCAGGAAAGGTTATTTTGTAGTGAGCAGGCAATTGACAAATTGTTATGCTCTAAGTCTGAGGAAAAGCAAATAAGAAACATCAGTGGAAAAAAATGGCATAAAATAAATTTACAAGATTAGCACAAATGACAAGTCCCCCAAGATATCTTTCATCTTTGCTTGTGTTCCTATACTTTTAAAGGTCTCTAGATTGTTTTTATTTCAGGGCTTCAGATCACAAAATGAACTTTCTGGTAAACTGGAATTTTATTATTTCAACGATTTTGCATATAAATGATTAGAGGTAAAACTTTTTCTTTGTTCTTTAAACATCCTCATATTTTATGTCTAAAAACTGATATAGATTCTCAAGTCAGATCACCTTTGGAAACTAAAGATTAAGAAGCCCAGATAGAAATTTGAGTGTGTAAATGAGTTATCAAATTAAAGCTTTCATAGGCTCTGTTTTACGTATTTCTTAACACAGCACAAATTTTATTTTAAATTTTTAAATATTTAGCATCACCAGTTCAGATATATTAATACCAATTTGAAAATCATCTAGTTCTTAAGAGTTCCTGGTACTTTTCCAAAAAGTTAAACTGCTTTCCAAAATGTCAAATCAGTTGTCAAAATCCAGCCCTGGATATATAGTGTTGCTATAGCCACATAATAGGGTTCTAGCCTTTTGGGTTTTCTTATTTTGATCTCTGACAGTTTGGCCATCTGATCTTTCTGGTTATAATTAGAGTTTTAACTCTGTTCATTGATTTGAATGTTACAAAGTGTGTCTTCTCCATCTGGTGAGACCTGTGGGACATTTTATTCAGAAGCTCCATTGCTAGGTAGTTAATGATCAAGTATATTTTCCCCCTTTGAAGAGAGCCATGTTGAGTGTTCCATTTGATGTTCCTTTTGAAATGAATACAGAAAAAAAATGAACAGACTCTGTTCCACCATTACCTATGATTTTTCATATTATAAGCTAAAAGAGCCTGCTTTTATTCACAATTATATTAATAAAAGTATTTTTAAGTAGAAACAACCTTACCTCATAGTCAGTATTGTTAAAGAAACATGTTCTTGGTTCTGAAAAATAAATACATTATTTTCTCCTAAAATAAACATTATAATTCCTCTTTTATTTACAAAACAGAAGTTATATATGAGGTCATATTTATTAACCAATTATAATGTTTCTTCCCATAACACCATCATCTCCTTTTAATATACTGATCATATTTGTAACTGTTAATTCTGGGTTTCCACCACTCCAAAGATAGTAAGTTTTAAGAAGGTAAGTACTGATTCTGTTTTACTTATCACACTTGTCTAGCACAGTGTGTGATACATACTAACAGCTCAATAAATATCTCTTGAAAATGTGAATAAGTAAACAACTATTCAATTCAATTCAAATAATGTATTATGAATACACACCACAATATCCGATTTCACAGCAGGTATCATTAGCTTTGAACTTTACAAGCCTCTCTCCAGTTTGGCATGTGGGTGGAGAAGGGCACTCCTGGAGTTGACAGTCCACAGCCTTTGCATCAGTACACGTGCATCTGTGGCAATTGGCAGTCCATATGTCTCCAGGCTACAGATACAAACCAAGTTTAGACTTCCATTTAAATACAGGAACAACAGCAAATTTGGGTTAAAGTAGACAAACACTGTATACTTACAGATTTCTCTTCTCCCAGTGGACCATGACAAACTGTTAATATGAAATGATAAATGCAAATTAAAATTGGCAAAATATAACCATCTGTTATTTGTAGATAACCACCAGGTGGCCAATACTGTAATTGGCACTAGGATTTCAGAGACACAGCATTATGGAAGATGGCATGGTGACTTGAGGTGGATAAATCACATCCACCTGCTTTGAGCAAACTGTTCCTAACAGGCATATATAAATACAATTCCTATTTTTACAATCCCCAGCAAAAGATAATTCTTGATTTCTCCTGGCAGTGGTCAATAAATCTTATGGCAGCTATTTAACTTACTGTTTTACAGTCTGACTTCTGCCTCCATAATCCTACAAGTCACCAAGACATCATAATTACCAGTCCCAAGGGCTCTTTCTCAGTTTTTCAAGTTTCCTACAATAGCAGACATTTTTAACTCTCACCTTCTTGAAAATGTTCTCCCTCCTTCTGATTTAACACTCTCAAATTCCTCTCATTATTAGCAACTCTTCCTCTTTCTCATTTTGTCTGTATTCTTTCCGCTGGTACTTTCTTCCATCCCCACAATGTCTACTGTAATATCAACTGGATGACTAGAACTTCTAGCTCCAGTCCAGACATCTCTTATGAGCTATGAACCCAGGTATTCCTCAGCCTAATAGCATCCCAACAGATCTATAAGAACCTCAAACTCAATGTGCACAAAACAGATTCTACCATCTTGCCCCTAAAACCAGTTTCTCATCTAAACTGGCTTCCTCCTGTTAAAGACTGAACTCTTCTTTCAATTTAAGTTAAAACTTAGGAGTCATTTTGATTCCTTCCTTTCCATCACTTGGCATCTGATCTACTGCAAAATCCCATATCTTCACCCTCATTTTAATTCCTTCCTTTCTTGTTTCTACTTGCTAAAATACTATTCCAGGACTTTATTATCTTTGATTTAGCATTACTCTGGCTTCTCCAGGGGTTACTCTGACTCAGATCTCTTCCTGATCTAATCAATTCCCTGTACCATAGGTAGAATAATTTTCCTAAAGCCTACTTTTCATCTCATCATTGCTTTGATTAAAAACTTTTGATGGCCCCTGATAGTCTTGTAAAAGAAATATTTATTTTAGCATTCTAGCTTCTGAAGTCTGCCATAATTGGCTCCAATCTACTTTTTCAACCATGTCTCACTTCTTTCATTTACACACCCTGGCCTATGCTACATACTGTTCTCAAATTCCAATTCTGTAATGAAATACCTGAGGATCCCTCCAAAGTATACAATATGTGTCACACATATGTGACACACAACATGTACTCTCTATAATACATATTTCACATTTTTACTGCGAAATTTATTTTCATCCTTATATGAAGATTGCCTATGTTTCTTTGAAAATCTCCCTTCTCCCACTATATCCTAAGATCAAAGAATCATTTTTTTGTTGTTAACTTTTGACACTTTCCACAAAGCCCATCACATTGGCTTGAGAATAGCAAGAACTCAAAGTCCTCTAAAATTATTGAACTCTGGTTAACCTTAATTTTTCTTGCTACAATTCAGTCCTTAAAAATAGCTGGAATTATCTAGTTTAAAAAATACTATCAAGTGACAATATTTTGATCAAGATATCATATAAGCACATGAAACATTTTATTTACTAGATAAATTCTATTTTGACTAAGTAACAAGATGCTTCTGTTTGGTTTTACTTCATTAGTTTGCGTGTGAGAAAACAGGCTATCATTCACTATTTGGTGAATAAAAGCTAAATTCATCCACTTCAAGTTTTCCTGTTCTATAACATTTCCATAGCTAGTAACTTTTATTGGTATGACTTCTGAAATTTGATCTAAAAGAAGAACCGTTAATGCAGAATGATTGATTTTCAAGTGGAAGTAATCTTACCTGGAGGTGGTGGAAGTGATGTTGGACAATCTGTGCAAAAAAAGTCACCTTAAATTAGCCTCTAAAGTTACTGTAATAGTTTTGGCATAAATATAGCTATCTAATTACTGAAAATAATTGGCTACATTGCTAGTCTTATAAACAGACATATTGCCGTCGATCTTCCCTTTCTGCTCCAAATGGCTTTTGAAATTCCATCATTAGAGAGTATTTCCCTTGGATCTTAAATTTTAATGAGAAAGAAATATGAGAATCAAAAGGAGAAATGAAAATCAAGGTAAATTCTCTTACTTCAAAATTTTCTTGGAAGACAGTTCTGACGAATAGGACAATAAAATATATAATCAAATAAGGAAAAGGATAACTCAGATAAAGGAAAAATATAAGTAATATTATTTACCTAGTTTTAATTTAAGAATTTTTATCCTCTTTTTGTCTCTACCCCCACCAAATGCTTTAAACTGTTTCTTTTTGAGCCTTCACACATCACATATTTTGGTCAACCCAACAATCCCTTCATAAATTTCAAATTCTATTACCAAATTGCTAAAAATCAGATTAATATTTTTATCCTATCTACCAAGCAAAAAGCTGGCCTAGGAGCAACAGAAAGTTTGAGAAGAACTTAAAATTTCTATAAGTTTAGGTAAAGAGACCCCCAACAATTAATAGGTACAGAAAGACAAAAAAAGAAATTAATTAAAGATCTGGGAATTTGTGGGATAAAATATTTCTCTTTCCTGAGGGAGAAATAAACTAAATCCCCAATTATAAATGCTTAGCAGATTAGCATAAATCAGCAACAAGAGAGAGAAATGATCTATTAGGCATAAATACAGCATAAAAATCTTCCCTGCCTAGAATTCCAAAGGTTCACTGAAGAAATTTGTAAGAGGAGGAGCCATAAAATAGCTACAAAATCTCATAATCTCCACATTGCTATCAGAGTACTTTCTCTGAGACATGTATCTGATCATATCATTCTCTTAATAAAATCCTTAAGGAGATCCCACTTACTACAAGGATAAAGTCTCATTTAAGTTTGGAAATAAGGTCCTTCATGAACGTACCTATCTAATCTCATTTTTTCCCTGAATCTCATAGCATCATTACCAAGATCTGGTTGATTGCTGAACTCATTCATGTTCTCTGTCTTTTCATGTCTCTGTCTTTTCAAGGGCTGTTTGGCAGGAATTCCCTCCTCACCCCAGCCAATATTAAACTCAATCATCTTTTCTCTTCACTCAACACGACCAACTAATAAGCAGAAATTAACACTCTATTCTCACTGCATCCCCAGGATCATAATTCTGCATCTTTGGGGGTTAGCCTTAAATATACTGTAATGATAGTATCTGAGCCCATAATCATCTCTCCCCCTCCACACACACACAAAGTAATAAAACGACAAGGGTTGTATTTTATTGATGTTTTTGCTATTAGTGTCAGCTGCAGAGTCTAGTAGATATAAGGTATTACAGGAATGTTAGTTGAATAAGTAACAAAGAAATTAGGACTTTTCCCATACTGACCTGTGTTATTTTCAGTTTCTTGATTTCCTGTTGTTGCTACAGGGGTTTCTGAGGAGAAATAACAGGATGGCATTGTCATTGCATTTATTTGAATAACATGTACACATATCAAGTCTCTGTGTATATACATGCACAAATGATTGCACGATTTGTGCTCAAGGAAAGCCTCATGTGGAACAGACAACCCATTCCAGCACATTTTGGTCATTTCATTTTACCTGGGTAGGATACTTCTGGGCTTGTTGTGATTCCACTTGACACTGAGGTAGAGCCTGCAAAAGGAAATATAAACAATTTGGAGAATAGCATATTTCATAATCTCACTCTCAGAGGTTTCAAGGCTTAACTCAAGTCTTCAGGAGAGGAGTTCTAGTTAAAGCCTAACCCAGAAAATCACAGAGGAAAAAATATCCCTAGTGGAACTTCAAAGTCATGTTACAAAAGGAAATTTAGCATAATCTTCCTGGCCTATCTCTCCTGTTTCTTCCCCACCACTTCTCTCCCCCAAACTCAACTCCTTAAACACAATCACAGGCCTGCTAATCATTGAAAAGTATGTATTGCCAGCATTCATCTGTTTGCATTCCAGTTCCAGAGTTTTCCTTGACTCCTGTAGAAGCAGGGACTGTTAAGGGAGGAATGAAAGTGGTTAGCATAGGGGAGAAGCCAGAGTTTAACTTCAGATAAGCTGTCCTGTCTTCCGAGATGCCACCAAGCAAAGTTAATTTGTTATTAATTGATTTACCTGTGGTAAAAATTCCAGGAGCAACAGTTGTTTTAGATGCTTTCTTGGAGGTTCCTAAAATGAGTAGGGAAAAAGCAATGAACTTTTTCTGGTCTCAGAAGAGCATGTCCTAAGATACCTCCACGTGGAGCAAGTCTCAAAGCACCTGGAGTGAACTAATGTTATCTACTGATGCTAGTTCATGCTTCTGCCATTGAAACATAGGAGGCCCCTATCTTAGCAACTCCTTGCTCACAGAAGTGAACTGAATATTTTCCTACGACCCTGGTAAACTCACCTATGGCCCCCCTTTCTAAACAACAAGAACTTTTTTCACACAAAACTCTTCTACTTCCTATAACTTGGTTGCCTGGTTTTCCTGTATTAGTTTTTGGGAGCGAGAAGTTATAACAGTGAGAGAAAACATCTGTGTTGATCACAATGGGCTTAAAGTAGCCCTCGGCTTGACTAAACTTTTAGACAGGTTTCTTCCTGATTATAGGTCCCTAGATTCCCTTTTCTTTACTTCGAACATTTACTTTAGAAAACTTGGAATTATAAATTCTTTCTCTGCCCCTTTGAGATGTAAATCTTCCCCCAGACTCTGACTAGTTTTATAATCCAGGAATGTCTTTCTTAAAGACCTGGGAGCCACCTTTTGAAATGTAATCATCAAGAGTAATAGTGCTCCTATCTCCCTATCTCTGCGGGAAGGTAGGAGCCTAACTTCATTCTATAAGCACCAATTAGCAAACATAGATGGTCTAATCACATAGACCACCTTCTCCCCGAACTCTCCATTACTTTTCTACTAATTCACCCCAGTGCTCAAAAACTCTCCTGCCTTTTATTTCAGCAGAATTGAGTTCAAAATCTCACTCCTATTGCAATGGTCTTGACCCCTATTGCAATAATCCTAAATAAAGTCTTCCTTGCCTATTTAATTCCATCAGGTGCATTTTTTCTTTTGCAGTTTAAGTTGGATATTCATTAATAGAGATAATCTGGTTATCTGAAACACTTGAGTGTTAAAGGAGAGGAAAATGTTGACCATGTAAACTTCACTTGAATCAGTCATTTCCATTACCTGGACTGGAACTTTCTGGAACGCCAGTAATTCTGCTTGATACCACAGTGGTACCTGCAAAGGCAAATGAAGGATATTTTATATTGGACACATGTCCGATGGCTATCCCCAAAGTTCAACAACAGGAAGAGAAAGTAAATCAGATGAAGGTCTGGGCCAATGTTGCAGCTAGCCCGTAGAGTACCTTTGTGAATTACAAAAAACACCCTGTCTGGCAGATTAGGCCTCATGGATTGACACTTTGTTGAAGGAATATCAGCTAGACTCAGCCTCTACTCTTCCCTTCAACAGGCACCTTTACAAACTTACCTGGGGACTCTGATCTGAGCCCAGAAACTCAGAGCAAGAAGACAACCTTAGATGGGTTGTCTATCAGTTATCACTATTTTTCCACCTGCAGTATATTCCCAAATTTGGTAGATGGCACTATCATCCGCCCACCCAGGCACCCAAATCACGAATTAGAACTCATCCAAACTTCTTTCTCTCCTTCATCCCCCAGCACCACACTGTAATTGATTCTAACTTGTCAACACACTGCTCATTCCTTCTGCCCTCTACCTCCCACATTTCTGCCTCGTGTCAGTCTCTAATCATCACTTCTAACAGTCTGAAACTGGATGATGTACCTCCACCCTTACTCTCTTACTCTCTTTCATATCAATCCTCTAACTTCTGTCTAGTTAATCTTCCAAAAGAGCAAATCTGTGCACGATAATCCATTTACCAAAAACCTTTCAATTGCTGTGTATTGCCCATGGAATTATGTTTTATTTTTGGGGGGGGCATAACTGAGCCCTATATTACAATATTGTTATGGACTACAAAATTTCCTCATTTAAGGAAATTCCTTCATGACTTTGATATCTGAGAGCTCCAAAAGACCTCCCAGCATCCACTCTTGCAGTGCTGTCCCAACACCTGAGTTGTATTCCACAAACATGCTGGATTATTATAATTTCCTGAACTATTTTACACCACCACTCTTTTTAGTACAATAGAGAAAATATTTCTTTCCTTGATCACTTTCACTGAGTAAATAAAAAATCTTAATGTGAGACTCCAAAAATGCCCTAAGTTTATTTCAGCCACCTTCATTTACCTGAGTTAGAAACTCTCTGGTAAATGGTAACTTCACCTGATATGATAGTAGTACCTATGAAGACAAGTGGGAAACTATTACCAAAAAAGACTTCTGTCCCCATTAAGGTATCTACTGCTGGGAAGCAATGTCCTAGTAAAGATGTATCTGATGAAATATTTAGTCCAAGAAATCCAGTGCATTAAGACAACTAATCCCAACTGGCTCAAAAGAGTGTTCAAATGAAAAGTTTTCTCATCTGATGGTAGCAAAGTCCTCCTGTAATCAATGAAATTCCAACAATTCTGCGATTCCATGACTGACCTGTTCGTATTCCACTCCTAGTGGTGTCATTACTTAGTCTCAAAGTTGTAGTCCCTGAGAGTAAAAAAGAAAAATTTAAGGTGATTTTAAACAATTCTGAAATCTAGGGAATGTTTTGTGTTGTAATAGGAGAAGACATATACCCAGGAAGATGGCTTTTTGCCTGAGATACTAACAGAGAACTCACTTTGGTAACTTTGACTAACCCACGATAGAATTTCCAGCAACTAGTGTGGTAAAAGAGGTTACAGCAGTGGAATTTGAAATGAAAATGAAAATAATATTGAGAGGGAATGATAGAGAAATAATGAAATTGAGAGAGAGAGAGAAAGGGAGAGACATCACAGCAATTTTTTTTTTTTTGCCCTGAGAATAGTATGGACCTGGACAAATTCATATTTCTTATAAGTAGTAAAGGGATTTCTATTTATGCAAAGAGAAGTAAATACCATGTTTTCCCACAGATGCTTTCATTTGCAGATGCCAATCCATGGCAAAAAGCCTCATTCTGGAGCCCTTTTTCTATGGCTTAATGCTTTAGGAAAAAAGTGTTTTTCCTCTGCTTACTTTTACTTCCTGTGGCTTGGCTTCCTAGTGATTCACTGGGACTCCTTGGTTGTGTGTGTGTGTGGGGGGGGGGGGGGGGTGGGGGGGTGGGGAATGTAAGTTAAAAAAACAATTTCAATTGTCAGGACCTTAGTCATGAGGATAAACCCATGAAAATGGGCCAAGAAGGATGAATTAAGCATATCTACTAACTAGGACTGGAATTTTCTGGGCCCCTGGAAACTCCAGCTGACCCTGAAGTAGTACCTGCAAAAGCAAGATGGATAAAGGATTGAGAGTAATACATGATTCCTAGCTACATAAAATCGCATCTAAAAGGCTGGTGTATGGAGAAAATCAGTCTGAAGAACAAAGACCCAGTTCTGATTGACCTGACATATTGTCTCTTCAAACAGAATACAAAGCCCTATCTAAGCCCGTCCTCCCACTCATTCATCATCTACCACAAACTCAAACAGAAAATTATTGGGAACCCAAAAGGCTGAAAGCAAACCACTCACCAGTTACTATTCTAGCTCCAGTGGTAGCTTGGATTTCTGTAGAAGTGGTAGCCTCTGAGAAAAAACAAGAGACAGTGGTATGGGATGCAGAAATTTGGAAAAACATGGAACAATATGTCTTTATGTAATAACCCTACAGCAGACGTCAGATCTCTAAGGATCTTCGACTTTTTCATGACTCACTTGCTTTGGAACTTCCAGATGCGATGGTTGTGCCAGTAATTACCCCAGTGGTAACTGAAATTACAAAAGGAGAGAATCAACTTATGAATTCCCTTTTACTTAAAACTAGGATTTCGTTTAGAAAAAACTGATGGGTTTCTCTAATAAACTAACAGGTTTATATCAGGAACTTTCTTACCTTAAGTGATATGTCATGTATGGTTTCAATTATGCCGTTTTATTACAAATATACAAAGTAAAGGGCAATTCACATGGTGTTAACATCTTAACAATTTGTACTCAAGGAGAGATTTAAGTTGAGCAGATTTTCCCCTGTGTGTTATAGCCAATGTGATTTACTTTAAGATGAAGAGAAAAAATAATTACTTGATGACTAGTGCTCACCTATTTTAATTCCACCTTCAGTGGTTCTACCACTTTCCAAAGAAGTTGTGGCCCCTAAGTGAAAGGAAGAAAGGAGAAAGAAAGTAAATTTGGAAGAATTATATAACTGAGAAAAGTTTGGTGGTGATCCCCAGGGTATGGTGGGGAACGTGTGTGTTTGGGTAGGGGGATTGATGGAGCGAGGGGCAGGGGGATATCCCATTGTTGAAGCTCTTTACATTCCCTGTTAGATTATTTATTTACCTGTGTTGAAACTTCCAGATGCAACTGTCGTGCCAGAGACTACACCAGTGGTGCCTGAAGTAGAATAGAGAAAGAGAGAATCCAAATGGTGATGCATTTACCATCCTGAGCAGAGCACGGCCGACAACAAGACTGTCTGTGACTCCAAAGTAGCAGAAGACCCTTCTCGGGACTATCCTTTCAAGATGAGGTGCATTCTCCATTTTTAAATTCAAGGCCACAATAAACGCATTGGCTCATGGGCCAGCCTTGATGATTTGCTTCCCTAAGATTAAATATCAAAGGTCTCCAAGCCTTTCCCACGCTTACCTGTTTCACTTCCAGAGCTTGCCTTTCCAGATGTGCCAGTGGTAGCCCCTAGTGACAAGAAATAGAAACAATATTTGTGTAAATGTATTTCATTGTATTCAATGAATAAACTCATAACATCCAAACTCCAAAATTTGATAGACCTGAACTTCCAGAGTTACTTCCATCATCACTGCTTCCTTAAATAGAACTATATGGACATATATTGCCTCCATCTGACACTAGTAATAGCTTGAATGTCAAAAGGGGAACCTTTCTGGACTCTCCTCTTAAGAATTACAGCATATGTTTTGCCCCCAGAAGAAATGGTATGATTTTCATAAATGTAAGCTTCCTCTAACAAATGGCCCCATGAAAAGGCAATGGCAGAATGTAAATTAGCAGGAACTCAGAAGTTGTCAATACCATTTTCATTGGTTATATTTCCTTCTATGGAAGTTGTAGCTTCTGAGAGTGAAAAGAAGGAAAGTAGTAAGGGCTAATGGAAAGTCATAAAAAGGTATCATGTGCTATGCTGCAGAGCTAGCCCCCAGAGAGAAATTACAGCCAGTTTCCTCATTGATTCACCTGTGTTGGAACTTCCAGGTGAGATGGTACTGCCAGGGGCCACTCTAGTAGTTCCTGAAAGCAAAATTGAATGATATCATTATGTCAATTTCATTCCTATAATAAGAAGAGCATATTCCAGAATAGAATGGGGAAACTACAAATATTTTTATCATGTGAAAAGGCCATTTTCAGAGATAGCTTCTTCCAGGATTGTTTTATGTGTTTTCTAATGTCACGTTTCATTCCTAATATAAATTTTTAGGGGGAGGGTGCAATGTTGTGTGGTGGCGGGAACTCCCAGTGATAACATTCCTTTCTCTGGTATCAATGTCAGGAGGAAAAAGGTATTTTCCTTTCCTTAGTTGTTTGAATGCCAGTGATTTGGCTACTAGATTCCCCTAGAAGAAGAAACAAAGCAGGATTGATTGCCTGTTGAATTTCCATTTGGGTGAAGCGTGGATGCTATAGCAATTTTAATGTTCTAGAAAAGTTTAGACATGTAACAAAGAAATCTAGCGATATAGTGTAGTGGTTAGTATAGTGTCATGGTTAAGAGGATGGACATTAGAGTCAGACTGCTCGAGTTCAAATCTTCTTTTTATTCACTGTGTGGCCTTGGGCAAGTTAATTAATCTCTCTGTGCCATAGGTTTTCTCATCTGTAAAAACAATAGTACTTCCCTCACAATTTGGAGTGAGAGATAAAAGAAATGAAACAATAATGATAAGGGTACAGAATAAGTCCTGGCATATAATTAGTGCTCAAAAGTGTTGACTATTATTGCTACTGTTGTCACTGAAAAGTGGAGAGGTTGAGAAGCTTGTGAACTCACCTGTATTCATTCCTGTGGTTCTACTGCCTCTGGAGCGTGTTGTAGCTTCTAAGAAAGAAGGGTTAAAAAGTGTGAGGTGAAGAAGATTCAGCCTTCTAAGGAAAGTTAAAGGTGTACTTTTCTCGATAACAGCACCCTGAGAGAGGATTTCCTGGGAAGGAGTCTCTCCAGCTGGCTGACTCACCTGTGCTTGAGCTCCCAAGTTCAAGTGAAGTGACAAAAGCTACCCTAGTGTTACCTGAAACAAGAAGGGAAATGGTGACTTTCCCTCTCATGAGGGGGAATCTGCTTATCTTTGGGGCTTTTTCAACTGATGGTGAATTATTCATGTTCTTTCACACATAGTTTTATTCCCAAATCAAATAGAGATACAAATTCTCCAACATAGGAGCCCCCTTTTCTGGGATTTAATAGCAGTAAGACAAGGTTTATTCACACTCTGCCCCTTGTTCTTCTGGCTCCCCTCCCATCATAGTCACCTAATGTGCTTCCAGTTCCTTCTTTTACTAATACTCCAGTGGTAGCTCCTATGAGGACGAAAAAAGGAAAACATTTGAGTGTAAAGATAGACACGTTATTGGGATCACAATCACACATTTCAATCACTTTTGTACTCTAGGAAGAATCTGATGACGTGAGATAAACTTTCCATGTTCACTGTGGCCTTCTATTTACCTGAAATAGAACCCTCTGGGACCATTTTTCAATCATCATTTCCATAAAGTGACAAACGGAAAGAGAAAACTTTCTAGACAACTGTCATTTCCACTGTCACTTGCAGGGATCTGTATATGTGAGACTGGACTACGGAAACAAAGGGACATCAAAAATCTATCCAAATTGACTCCAAATCAAGTAATAAAAGAAAACATTGTTGATCTTAGATGATAGTTCCTAAAAAGCTCTTCCCCAGGAAACTATCCTACTAAGAAACGAAACTAATTTATCAGCAACCAAAAGTCACGCATACACACGCCACACTAATTTTCAACTGTTTCCATCCCACTATAGCAGTTCTATTGATTCCCATGGAAGTTGTGACTTCTGGAAGGATGACAGAAGAAACAGATAAAGAATGGGGATTTAGGAAGAAGGGAAAATATACCGTGATGCTTTTACATGAAAAGATCAATGTGAAAGATATTTCTGTCACCTTCTTTCCAAGAAGAATGCTTTCTTCCCAGCTTTTAACCTACCTGTACTGGAACTTCCAGGTGCAACAGTTGTACTTGAAGCTACACCAATTGTATCTGAAACAAGAAGGCCATGGGATCATCATGGAGAATCTTCTGCATTGATGCAATCTGAACATAAAATAAACGTATATTTCCAGGGCCACATCACTCAGTGGTGTGTTGTGCATGGACAGCTCCTGGAGGCACCATTCTCAGATCCTGTTTAGTCCACATGGCAGTCCTATGAGTATGCCCTTTCATTGCCCTTTCTGATCCTAGACTGAATCACATATTTTTTCCCATGTATCAATTATTTCATTCATTCAACAAATAATTATTGAGCCATGTTGAATACTAGTGATTCATTGGTAAATAAATAAATGACTTTTTTTCCTCAAGAAGTCTGTCTTCTAGTAGGCTTACTTAGGAAACAAAATGTAAAATCTTCAACCAGGAGCAGAGGTATTTTTCACCACATTTACCTGTTTTGCTTTCAGTGACTCGATGGTCTGATGCTCCAGAGGTAGTTCCTGATGGTGGAAAGTAGGAAAAAGATTCTGAGTATGTTATGCCCATTAATGAATCTCTGAGGCAACCATTAAGCAAACTGGAATTTAAAGTTCAAAATAAAAAGTCAAATGGGAGGTAAAAAATTAGTAAGTTCATTTTAGTCACCTACTTCACCTGAGACAGAACCTTCTAGAACAGTATTGATTTCTACTGATTCTGCAGTAATATCTATAATATCCAGTGGGTTAACCTTCCATGGAATTATTACCCCTACACCCCTTTTCAGAAATCTATACCACAAGACCAGGCATTAGAAAAGGCTGGTCCAGAAATCAGCCTAGGGGTGTGAATCAACAGTATATTTGGCTCTGGTTATGGGCTGAAGGACCTGCCCTTCCTCTACAACAACCTTTCTGATCCAGAGGCAAACTCATGATGGTACTCAATGGCAATGCTAACAGCTGGGACTCCTAGTTCTCACTGATTTCATCACAGTGGCTCTGATGCTTTCTAAAGAAGTCTTGGCCTCTGGAAGAGGAGATGAAGAAAGTGGAAAGTATGTTTGGGGATACATATTTATCCTTGAGGTTAGACAAGGGACAAATGCCTTTGAATATGTTCACTTACCAGTCCTGGAACGTTCAGGTGCGATAGTTGTGCCAGAGACTACTCCACTGGTACCTGGAATCACAAACGGGAAGGGATTGATAAGTCGTTTCCTTTTCATTAAAAGAAGGGCTAAGAAGAAAAACATTATGTTTCTTTTAAGTCATAGAAGGCCTATATGAGGAACCCTAAAATATCATTCCTCAAGTACTTTTCCTTCTAAAAAAAATGAAGTAAGACCATGTTTTTACCTTAGGAGTCTCTTTATTCTGAATATTGGCAAATATCAGAGAAGTATTTATATTTTCTTTTGCTAACCTGTTTGACTGCCAGAGACCTGGCTCCCTGGTGCAGTGGTCTGGGCTTCTGAAGAGGAGAAAGAAGAGAGAGAGAATATTCTGCTGTATGTAAGCTTAAGGATTTGGGTAAAGCATTAACAGTCTGCAATTTGGAGGCTCAGGCAAAGATTTCCATCGGGCAGAAATCACTTTGCATTTCAGCCAACTGGAATTGCTAGAAGGAATCCACAAAAAAGGAAAACTTTCTGGATGCCAGCTAATATGCTGGTAATATTTGTAATACCAACGGAGAAATCCCAGCCCATCTTCAGACGTGGAGCAGTGAAGCTCAATTCTGGAATTTGGTAAATTTTCAGAAAGATTTTATCTCTAATAGAAAACCTATTCTGACTCACTCACAGTGTCCCTAAATTAAGTGCAAACTCTCTCAAGAAAAACCTAGAGAGTTCGAAACCTGATGACCCTGAACCATGTGCTCTCCATTCTCACCTGTTTGGGCTCCAGTTCCAGTCTCTTTTGTGGAAGTTGTGGCCTCTGAGGGAAGAAATAAGAGAATGACAAAGTCTGGGAATTTTGAATACTGGCAAGAGATACTGGGGCATTATTTTATTAGCAACCCCAAAAGAGAGATATGACATCTGAGATTCAACAAGAGGAATTTTAGGGGCTGGCCTGGTGGCATAGTGATTAAGTTCACGTGCTCCACTTCAGTGGCCCCAGCGTTCACTGGTTTGGATCCTGAGCGTGGACCTACACACTGCTCATCAAGCCATGCTGAGGTGGTGTCCCACATAGAGGAGTTAGAGTGACTTACAACTAGGATATACAACTATGTACTGGGGCTTTGGGGAGAAAAAAAAAAAGAGGACGATTGGCAACGGATGTCAGCTCAGGGCCAATCTTCCTCACCAAAAAGAGCATACCTTAAAAAAAAAAGTGGGCTTTATCTCTGTTTAAAAATAAATGAATAAATAAATAAATAAGGGGGATTTTCTTCTTGTTAACCTACCTGCATTAGAACTTCCAGATGAAATGGTTGTTCTAGAGAATTCCCTAGTGGTACCCAAAATGCAAAAAAGTACATGAAGCAATAGAGCATTTGCTCCCAGTTCATCGTGGAAGCCTCAGTGTGGCCTTAAAGCACTGGAAGCCCTCTCCCGAAAACACTCTCTCTCTGAGGAAAATGGAAAATGAACAACTTCACAGCATCTCATTTCCCAGGTCAACCTGGGGTGGATGTGCTGCTGCTGACTTTCCCTTTCACCATGGAGTAGAGGGAAGCAGGGCTTCGAATGACCCTTACCTGTTTCATTTCCGGGGACATAACTCCCTGTTGTGCCAGAGGCGCCTAAGAGGAAAGATAGAGCATGGTTTTAACCCCTATAAGTAATACTCATTGATAAAACTTGGAACATTTTGAAAATCAGTTGCCTTCAAGAAACTTTGTAGTGAAGGGAGATAGAAAATAATAAACTTAGAAAATAAACAATAAACATCATGTGTAAGTAAATGAGAGAGATGATGGAAAGTGGCAAGCTGTAGGGGGAAGGTAAGCTGAGTAAGGAGGATTGGAAGTAGCAGGGGCTTGGAATATATGCAATATACATTCATACCCTTTTTCAGGAAAAAAAGGGGACATCTCTGAAAGCCAGAATGCTGAGACAGCTGAGATCTTGGAATTCCCAAGCAGAATTCCAGGCTGACATCATACAATTCGGCCACAGAGAACATGCAGGCCCCTCCTTGACACTCCTGCCCATTCATTTATTCACTGCAGTAACTCGGACAGAGAAAGGACAAGAGCCCCAGGCCTCAGACTGAAAAGTTCACCACCTGGCAATCCTTCTTGGGTGGTCCTGCTGCCTCCTGTGGAAGTTGTGGCTTCTGAGAGCAATTTTTAAAATAAGAGCAAACACTGGGGATGTGGACAGGCCATGCTGGGGCTCCCATAGGTTATATATTTTGAAGGACCACATTTAGGATTCTAACCTGTGTTGGCACTTCCAAGTTTCTGAGTTTTTCCAGAGATGCCCTCAGTTGTGCCTGAAATAAGAAAAGAATTGTGGTCATTTGGTCAAGTTGTTGCTCATCGTGAAATGGGCATGAGTTCTTCAAGAAAAAAAAAACAAAAAACCTTGGTTTCTCCCATATACCAGTAAATTCATTTCTCTAGATTTCCTAGTTTCCAGAGTCCATCCATATGTTTCCCTTAAAACACTGCATTCCCCAGGCAAATTTGCAGAGAAAGTTTTCTACCACTGAGTCCCTTTTTTAGAGTATAGTTGGAGAAAGATTGGTTTGAACCCACGTTACCTATATAGCTGTCAGGGAATGGGCCCCACGATGCCCTGATGAAGCTTCCTTAGAGCACAAGACAAGGACGAAACGTTGAAGTGCCTGAATTTATTATTGATGTCAGATACCAAACATGTGCTAAATTTTTTGCCCAGTATGCTGAATATGGGAAATTCCAAGGGTTTTGATATATTTAAGAAAAGACCTTTTATTGAGAAGGTATTACAAAGAACAATGAGTGTCTTAACAGGGCTCACCTGTGGTTATTTCAATTCTTCTTATTCCACTTTCTCCTACAGAAGTTGTGGCCTCTGAGAGAGAGGAAAATAGGATGGAGATGGTTGGCTACTATTTAAGGACTGTGGAGAAGGTATGGTAGCTCTCCTACACAGCATAACACTGGAAGAGGACTCTCATCATCATAGATGGACCCATCCAAGATTCCCAGCCATCTTGTTGACTCACCTGTGTTGGAACTGCCAGGGGCAACAGTTGTACCAGGGGTTACCCCAGTGGTGCCTGAAACACAAAGGGTCAGAAATCATCAGGGTGACTCATATTTGTCTCCTGAAGACCTGCCTCTAGAAGGAATCTAGGTGTATCTTTGTTATGTCAAAGGGCCCTTTCACTACTCCCTGATGAGGTGAGAATCCTATGCCTTCCTATGACCCATATCATTAAGAAAGCAAGAAAAACAGTAACGTTTCCAAATTGAGGAACCCTCTCCAAACATTTCATTCATTCTAAGATGGAGAAGAAAGATGGCTTCCCCCCACGTTCACCTGTCACACTCCCAGTTGCTTGGCCCCTTGGTACTGCAGTGGTGTCTCCTGCGGGATGAAAATCAGAAAAGATATTTGAATGTGACAAGGAAAATACTGAATATCATTATTGCTTTTTTGAGCAACAAAATCTTTATATAAGATAGGCCTGTTTAAGGCCTTTCTCTTCTTCCCAGATATACAATTTTCCTAAGCTCTCCCGACATCTTAGTGATGTATACGCCATCACAGGAGAAACCTCTCCTACCGAATGCACAACCAGTCCTTCTTTAGAAAGTTATAGCTGTGAGCCTAGACACAGGTATTGCGAGCTCTTCCATAATATGTTAAATCTAAGAAAATACTGAAAGCAAAGGCAAGCCACTCTGCAGGAAAGCACACCTCCCAAAGGGTGAGCCTATGAAGAGTCATAATGCATGCTAAACCCCAACTGTGAACCACTCATTTTCACTGGATCTGGATCCAGTTCCAGCAGTGCCACTGCCGTCTGTTAAAGTTACAGCGTCTGAGGGAAGAAGGTGATGAGTGGTGAGGTCTGAGGATTTGGGATTTTAGAGAAAGAATTATGCTGATACTTTATCAGAGCAGGTCTACTAACTATATTACGAGGTTAAATATGGAGATTTCCTTCTTGTTAACCTACCTGTGTGGGAACTCCCAGATATAATGGTTGTCCCAGAGAATTCTCCTGTAGTACCTAAAAAAGAGGAAAATAAAGGGGTCAACACAGCATTAGTTCCTCCTTCAATAAAAAAGTAGCTATGTGGCCTTGAACCCCTGGAAGACCTTTTCTGAGGATCTCTGTTTCTGAAGAACCATCAGTGACTTCCCACAATTTCCTTTCCTGATCACCTATTGATCATTGTTCCTCCTAGAGTTCCCTTTCCACAGATCCCACTGAAAGTGGAAAGAGACCTTATGTCACCCTTATCTGTTTCACTTCCAGACCCTGGGCTCCCTGGTATGACAGAGGTGCCTAAGGGAGGAAAAAGACGGATAATGGATTTATCTTTCTAAATTTTACTCAACAATTACTTTTTGATATTCATATGTCATAGGTATTTTGATATTCATATGTTTAAAATATAATTCCTTAACTCTGATATTCTCATGTGCTGAATTTATTTAGTCCATCCTACCTGGCTTGAAACTCTGTGAACTGCTACTGGCTCCAGGTGAAACCACAGTGGTACCTATTAAAGCAAATAGAGTAAGGATTCACTTGATCATTCCACTAATATTTATTAAGCCTTTCTTCAGTGCAATATTGTTTTAGGCCCTTGGATGTATCAGTAAGCAGAATATTCAAAGATTCCTCCATTAATGCAACTTACATTCTAGCAGCTGGAGACCGGCAGTGAAGAATAAACACAATAAATAAGTCAGTGTGACAGATGTTAGGGCTATGGGAAAATGGCAAACCATATAAAAGGATTGGGGACTTGGTCGGCAGGGTCTGGCCAGCATGTTTTCTTCATCCTTGTCATCCAACAACTAGCTCTGCAAACCTGGGCCTCTCAAAATCCAGATAGAAACATCTGAGGCCATGGAATTATGAGACAGACCCAGGTTAGTGACTCTCACATATTATGTTCCCAGAGGAAATGCAAGCATCTTTTCTTGGCCCACCTTCACACTGATGTATTCACTGTAGCCACACAAACAGAGATTTTATTTTAAAAACCCCAAAGTCTCAGATTAAAACCACTCACCTCCTGGAAATTCTGCCTGGGTGCTGCCACGTCCTCCTGTGGAAGTTGTGGCCTCTGATAGAGAAAAGAAAGGAAGGAATAAAGACTAGGGTATAGAAAGGTGCATATTGTGCCACGGCCAGAATATATCATCCAAATGGCCAGTGTCTAGATTTTGCACGTATTTTCAGACCTACCTGTGTTGTAACTTCCAGGCTCTAGAGTTTTTCCAGAGACTATACCAGTAGTACCTAAAACAAGAAAGGGGTGGTGTTCATGAGTTCAATTGCTTGTCCATCACGTGATCTAAACCCGCCTCTAAAGTCCCTATGTAGCAGCAAACTATAATCATGAGACTATTAGTGCCAAGAAGTAATCAATATACGCCCCATGTAACGTCTCTTTCTACAACAATTTTACTGAGAAAATTCTCAACTATCACGTCCCTTTCTTTGGAGGGGAGATAGGAAATTCCTCTCCAAAGTACCTGTGTATCTGTAGTAGTTTGACTTCATGATGGCCTAGCTAAGGCTCTTGTAAGTTCAGGTAATAAGGAGGCACTGTAATAACTGTGTGTCTTTTTTCCTGAATTTGCTCAATATAACATATGTACACAGTGTAGATACATTTCCAGAAGACTGTTTTAAGAAGTTATTACGAAGTGCAGGTGTTAGCTTATCAGCACCCACCTGTGGCTATTCCCACTCTGGTTATTTCACTTCCTCCCAGGAAAGTTGTGGCCTCTGAGGGAGAGAAGGAGGAAAGAGAATTGGAGAATATTTAAGGATCACCAAAAGATGTGGTGGTACCCCTGCAAAAGACAATACCAGAGGAGACATCTAATTTGTGGGAAGACATGTGGAAGATTCTATGTCAACCTGTTGACGCACCTGTGTTGGAAGTGCCAGGGGCAACAGTTGTGCTGGGGACCACTCCGGTGGTGCCTGAAACACAAAAGGAACTATGGTCACCATGGTGCTCATGTTTCTTTCCTAAAAACATACCTCTAAAAAGAACCTAAGTATATCTTCATCATATCTAACTGGCTCGCTCTCTGGCTTTTCCCTGATGATGAGCCCTGTGTATTTTTTTATTAACCATTTTACTGGCAAAGCAATCAGAGTGACTATGCTCTCAACCTGAGATAACCTCCTTGGTATTCTATGTCAGGGAAATGAGGTGGGTTTCTGCCATGCTCACCTGTTTCACTCCCAGTGACTTTACTTTCGGATGCTACAGTCGTACCTGCTGTGGAGTGGAAACAGAGGAGGGTATGAGTGTGCTGAAAACTTCAGACACTGGGAAAGTATTGTGCTCTTCGTTGCTTTCTTGTGAAAAGCAAACATCTATATAGGGCAGACATGTCTCCTGGGTTTGTGTAGCTCTTCTCTATTTCTCAGGAATAGAAAGTTTTCTCACCCTTCCCTCTTCCCTCTTATCATGTCTGTAATTCCACAGAAGAAATTACTCAGAACAATTAGTACAATCAACCCATCTATAGGGATTCCATCTATGATTCTGTTATTAGCAGCTTTTCAGGAAAAAAAATTCAACACTGAAAAAGAATTAGTTAGCCAAAAATGCACTATTAGTAAAGTAAATATGATCTGCTCTCCAGAAACTCCTTCTCTCTCTAGGCTCGCCTATGAGAGTCATAATTAGCGGTAACAAGAAGACAGGAGTTGCTCCTTCTCACCTGTTCTGAATCCGCCTCCAGAGGTGCCAGCACCTTCTGTGGAAGTTGTGGCCTCTGAGGGAAGAAACAGGAAAACAGTAAATTCTGGGCGCTTGGGATGCTGGAAAGAGGTACGTATGTTGTATTATTTTATCACAGCTACCCCACAAAAAGCTTCATGTCTTGAGTGTCATAGAGATGGTTTTCTTATTTCAATTCTACCTGTGTTGAAAATGCCTGTTTTAATGGATCTCTCAGCTCTCTGGTAGAAGACTGAGTGATGCATGTTGAACGGTTCCCATTCAACAAAGGTAGAAGCTAGTGTATCATCAGATGGACAAGTATGAAATCAATCACCCCGTCAGATAAGGACCAGAAAGGGATTTTATATCAGTGAACAAAATAAAACAAAAATGCCTGCCTTCATGGAGTTATATTCAAATGCAAATGCTAAAAGAATGTGTAGGGAGACCAATTAATAAAAAGTGAGATACTTTAAACAATAAACTTCTTTTGCTTATCTTTGAAAACTAAGTTTAAAAAGAGACACCAGGTTGCAATAAAAGCTAAAAATTTTCAGGGAAATGGCAGGTGACAACACTAATTTGCTGAGAAATATGGTATTACCTTTTTTTAAATAAGGGAGCTATTTCTGGAGTTATTTTTGTTTATTTGATTTATTTTTTTACACTTATACACAACAAGTGTAGAATTTAGCCATTCTGTAAGAGAGTCAGTATACCATTGTTATGATTTAAGAAGGCATAAGAATAGAAAAAGCAAAAGCCCTATGCTACCAAAATCTAATTTGAAGTTCATGTTTTATTAATCTGATAAATTAAGACTTCTATTATATTTTCTATTTTAGTTACTATAACACCATGTTTTCTCAAATTCACATTTACACTCTCATATTTTCTCACCTATTACTTCAGGTTTTATCCATGGCTCTAAAATTTTAAAACACAAATATATTTATAAATGTACATTTTTTATTGATCTCAATTCACAAAAATTAATTTCTATTAGATTATAATTTGGGAAGAATATCGCAGTCTCTTAGAAATTTTTCAGTGCTCCAACGGAAAAGACAGAAATACCACTTTAAGCCACAACATGCAGAAGCATATTTTTTCATTTTAATTTCTCCTTGCCTACAATTAGTACTGGTGGAATTCTTTTAAATGAGCCTAATAAAGGAAAAATTAAATTCACATTTCAATTAAAGAATATACTTGAGTTTTATTTGAAGAATTCACTTCAGTGCTTCAACTGCCATGACATGTAAATTTTTTATTAAATTTTTTATTAAAAAGTATGTTATTTCCATAGAGGCTTATCTTACAAATTCAAGTCAGGGTGACAGACCTCTCAGGAGAGAAATTGTGAAGTGCTCTTCTATGGAATCACCCACAAGTTACAAATGATGGAACCGAAAACAAAGTCATTGCCTTTTCTCCCAGCAAAACATTTACATATATGTAATTCTTGTTTGCTTCCTTCCATTTAGTTAAAGACTAGAGTCTTAAACTTACAAAATGCAAAAAAAAAAAAAACCCAAAACCCAAGATAAAATACATACTATGCCCCAATAGTCACATGTTAGTAGCCATGGCATTAATTTATAAGATAATTAGGGTGTTTAACACATAATACGAAGCGCACCAATTCATTTACACTTAAATAACCATAGACTGAATGAAGAATAATTATAAACTTAGTCTGAATCAAATTATTTAGTTATTTTCTAGTGACTAGTTTCTAAAATAAATTCACATAAGGGGAGTTTGTAATAGTAGCTAGAATAAATACAGCATAAATCTTTCCCAGGAAAAAATATATAAGAAACCTATTTCATAAATAATGGAAAATCGAGTCACTAAAGCCTAGATTCTATTCGATAACCTGCAAATTGAGAAATAATGTCTATTTCAAGTACTATGATACAAGTATATTACTAGTTCTGAAACTTAAATAATAAGGTACTGTAGCCTCGAATAAATAATTTAATCCATTTACTGTTAGGGAAAAAAATTCCCTAAAGTATTTGCGAATTTTATGCCAGGTTGGAATAACCATAACAAGAAAGGAAGTGATAAATTTTGATTTATAAAACACGAGTATTATAGTTCCATCAAATGAAATGCCCCCAATCTTGCTGTTTCAGAACGGCAAGTGCCACGGTTTGTCATTATATAAAAAATTTTAAACCTCTATTTATTACCTGCTCCTGCAGTTCTTGTAGTTAGAAATGGGGAAAATTTAAGCTTTGTAAATATTAAAAGTGAGCTTTTATTAATGGGTTATTAAAGGCCATTAAAGCTCATAATAGGCCATTAAAGGTATATTTGCCTTAGAGGAGGAGGGGACTGTGGCAAAGAGCACAGACTCTGGACTCAGTCAATAATGATAAAAATATGGGCTCCATTATTTGGTTTGCTGTAGAACCCGGACCAACTTAGGTAATGTCTTTTCTAAGGTCCTCGTGAGTAAAATGAGATAACAATACGTATTCAAATAGGTCAATGATAATATATTTAAGGACACTGCAATTAATTGGCATTATTACTATTTTGCCATTTTAATTAGCCAATTAGCATGAAAACAAGTCAAAAAATACATCTGACATCGCCTGCTTACTTACGAGTATTGGAACTTCCTGCCACAATTTTTGAACCATGGGTGGCTCCTGTGGAACCTGAAATAAAAAGTGGAAAGTCATCTGCAGTGTTCTTATTGTATTGGGACCCTGCCTGGATACTTAACTATGTGACTAATTTGAGTCGAGGTGTTATGGTTCCAGTAGCTGGTGTGAAAGCACCTAACAAAGTATAAGATTCTAAATACCAGGTAACTTGGATCTGATGTTCTGATTTCTATTCTTACGGTACACTAATATCTACTCCTACATTTGTCAAAAATCTTATGTTGAACTACAGCCTGGGCCAATAGCTTAGGTTCCCACTCACCTGATTTTCCAGGTGTGGTTAATATAGTCGTGTTATCACCTGCTTCAGGGGTTTTTCCATATGGTTCTGCAGTTGTGCCTGGTTACAGGAATAATTACTATTAGTTTCACATGATTCATTTTAGGAACAATAATAAACTTACTGCCTTTTAAGCAAACTTCAAATTTAGATGTTGATAATAAACCTAGAACACCTCTGAATCACTTTTCTGTAAATGTGGTGCTTGGGTAAATTAAACTTATTCTCCCAGTTTGGGTCCCAGCTAGGCGCATCTGGGAACATGAAGAGAGCACACAAGTGAGCCTTGCATGCCTGGTTACCAGCAGGGACGGAGCCACAGCCTATGTTCCAGCTGTGGTTTTCCTGCCTGCACAGGTGGTAGCTCCCAATGACCATGCAGCGGGACCGGGTCAAGAAAGAAAAAAGAATCAGAGATGAAACCATGACGATTTCAAGAACTACAAGGAATCACATTGAAACAACAATATTGTACTGATCTGACCTGTATTAAAGGATATGAGATCTACATTTTCGAAAGGTGATACATGTAAAACATTCAAAAATGGGACTCTGATTAAAATTAAAATGCTCTGTACGAAATGGTGATCCTTCAGCTGATTTTACTTGCCTTCAGGTGTGCTAAGCTGTATTCGTGAGAGCACAGTTGTTCTTTCAGCGTGAGGAGTGATGTTACTTAAGGTTCCAATTGTTTCTGACGTTGCACCTTTGAGACCAGTTGTTTCAGAGACTCCAGGTGATGGTCCAGGTGTCTCAGTCACTCCAGATGGTGGTCTGGCGGTCCCGGACACCTCAGACGATGGTCCGGTTGGTCCTGAGCTTCCAGCTGATGATCCAGTTGTCCCTGACCCTTGAGCTGGTGGGCCGGTTGCCCCTGATACCACGACAGGTGGTGCACTGCTCTCCGACCCTACCGAAGACGGCCCGCTGGTCCCTGGCGCGCCGGCTGATGACCCAGTGGTCGCTGATCCTTCCGCTGAGGCTCCACTTGTGGCTAACCCGGTTGTCCCTGTGGCTCCAGGCAATGTGCCACTTGTCCCTGATCCTTGAGCTGCCGCTCCAGTGGTCCCGGGGCCCCCGGTGGACAGTCCTCTTGCCCCTGACACCTCAGCCGAGGGTCCCGTGGTCCCTGATCCTCCTGGTGCTGGTCCGCTCGCCACGGTGACTCCAGCTGTTGGCCCACTGGTTCCTGAACTTCCAGCTGCTGCTGCCGTTGACTCCCTCGGGCCTGAAGACGACGGCCCCGTGGTCGCGGATCCCTGTGCCGACGGTCCGCTTGTTCCTGACCCTCCTGGGGCTGGTCGGGTGGTTGCTGACGCTTCCGCTGATGGTCCTGGGCTCCGTGGTGCTCCACTTGCTGCTCCCCTCGACCCCGTGACTTCCGCTGCGGGTCCGGGTTGTCCCTGACCCTACCGCAGATGATCCAGTCGTCTCCGGGCCTACGCCGGGCTGTCCCGTGGTCCCTGATGCTCCCGCTGGTGACCCGCTTGTCCCTGATCCCTCAGCTGATACCCGAGTTGCTCCTGATCCTCCTGGTGACGACGGGCCAGCTGTCCCTGTCAACCCAGGCGACGGTCCAGGCGTCCTCGAGCCCTCAGCTGAGACTCCAGTTGTCCCTGACCCTTCACCTGAAGCTCCAGTTGTCCCTGTTCCCACCGCAGCCGAGCACAGTCGCCTCGGACCCGACGACAGATGGGCCACCGGTGCCCGTTACTCT